GCTTATGTTATTTAACCATTCACTATTGTATAGAACGCAAGGTTTAGAAAATCCAGAAGTATGATACGAGGTCGTGGTAGGGGGAGGGGTGGTTATGGCAGAGGCCGCGGTAGAGGAGGTTAATATTACTATTAATTTCTTTTCATGTTTGATGTTACATGAAACTTTTTATTTACATATTATATATATATATATATTTAATATAGCTCGCGGATCGATGGGCTCTAGTTCGAATGCGATACCTCTCGGGGGGAGAGCTGGTATTGGAGGTGGTGCGCAAATACCTCCTCCTCCACAACTTGACACGAATACCTCTAGTCGAGGAAACTTTGGCAACACTTCTAGGTTTCAAATGAACTTCCAGAAGGCCTCCTCTGCGGAATCTGAATTGGGTCTATTGCGATCTAGTACTTCAGCTTCACAACCATCTTCAACGGGAAGTCAGCGTAAAAGGCGTTGGGATTCCTAGGGGATTTTAACTGTTCACCAATTGAAATATTTATTAGACTGGTTCTTAATTTACTCTAACTGGATCACGCAATTTGGATATATACATTTCATGTATTAATAATAGTCAAAATATTCTTCGATATTATATAAACGATGATTCTATGATGTTTTAGGATATAACACATTTTACATTAAAATTCAAAGTTGAACCAGGATTTACAAATAAATTTGTTTCATTTAAGCCATCAAGTATTGAACATGGATTCGGTAATCCTATTCAACCTGCGAACATAAAACTTGAAAGCTTTTTTCCATTCGACATTTGAAAGTCTATTAATCAATATCATGTTTGAAAATTTTGATTTAAGAATATTTGTAAAATAAGTAATATAAATGAGTGAAAAAAAAATATCCAAAAAAGATTTTTTTTTTGGACAGTTTCTAACTGTTCGAAGAAGTCGACAAAAATGAGACTAGTTAACTTCCTCGACTGATTCTATCAGACTGCTAGATCGTAATATACAAAAATTTTACTTCACAAAATTCATTGATGATTATTCGGAAATAAAATTAGCATTCGAGGAAGTCAAAGCGGCATCATCAATTCCGTTTACGCTTCCTTCATCAGTATAAGTATTTCCTTTGATGTTCATCGAATTATAGTAACGTTGCTGTTGATACGCATATTGAGGTTGTTGCCACTGCCAATATTCTTGTTGCTGTTGGTGAACATCGACTAGACGTTCCATATATTTCGAATATAAATCATCTATCGTTTCTTGATAAACCTTTCTTCGACTATTCCAATATTCATTGATCGCACTCCTTGGTTTCTCTCCGGGTGTATTTTCAGTCAATGAGGTTCTACCTGAAGTAACTTTCATGACATCAAAGACGAAACCGATTACCATTTGAACGGTAGAGACACAACCGATGACTACCAACAGTGAATTCCATATGAAAAACCTAAATCAAAGTGAAAACGCAGAAGCATCTTAGCATTTAAACAATATTATGGAAAGACGAATCCAATAAGATAAATTACATCATAGCCAAATGGACAATAAATGCAATCCATCGGTTTATTGCAATGGTTAACACGGTGAAAATGCGAAACGATTTGTATAGCAAATTTTTTAATATTCTAATGAGGAAAAACATGATTATAAAGTCTTTAGCGTTGCATTTGTTGCGTACCTATTTTTAAAGGAATGGAACAAAAAAATCGACGGCTTTCATATGTCCATAGTAGGATGGTGCATGATTCCCCGATTATCTAAAAACGGATATGTTTATTTGACAATCATGTGAGATTACGAAAATCATGCTACTGCATTT